AAAATATTCAGAAAAAAAAGGTTTCAGTCATTGCAGAACATGAAGTTGGAGGTGCTAACATCAGGAATTTTTTTAATTGTATTTATTATTTTTATTTATGTGTATGCATGTATTGCCTGCATGTAGGTAAGTGCACCCGTGTTGTGCAATGCCCATGGAGGTCAGAAGAGGCTGTTGGATCCCCTTGGACTGGAATTACGGACAGTTGTTAGCTGCCATATGGGTGCTGGGATTTGAACCCGGGTTTTCTGCAAGAACAACCAGTGCTCTTAAACACTGAGCCGTCTCTCCAGCCCCAACATCAAGAATTTTTATGAGTTTTTTTTTTTATAGTTTTTTTTTTTTTTTTTAGAATGACTCTTAAGAGAGATGCAGTTAAGAGCACTGGCTGCTCTTGAAGAGGACCCAGGTTCTGTTTCCAGAAACTCACAACTGTCTGTAACTCCAGTTCCAGGGGTTCTAGCCCCCTCTTCTGGCCTCTGAGGGCATTGAACAACATGGTACAATTACAAACACGCAGGCAAAACACTCATACACGTACAATAAAAATAAATAAATAAATCTTTCAAGGACTGGAAAGATGGCTCAGTGGGTGTATTAGTCAGGGTTCTCCAAAGAAACGGAACTGGTAGAATGAATATATATGTATAGAAATTTATCAGCTTAGCTCACAGGATAGAGTCCGAGTAGTCCAACAATGGCTGCACCACACTGGAGAGGCTGAGAATCCGTAGTCGCTCAGTCCACGAGGCTGGATGTCTCAGTAGTCCCGATCTGGCACTGAAAGTCTGACAAATTCCAAAAGATCAGCTAGTCTTCAGTCTACAGCAGCAACGAACGCACCAGTGAGAGAGAAGGCAAGCAGCAAGAAGCCTGGTGTTCTCCTCTGCCATGGCCTTTTATACAGGCTGCCATCAGAAGGTAACACCCACATTTAGGGTGTGTCTTCCGGCTTCAGATGATCCAATCAAGAAGATCTCTCTCATTTCAGTTAATCCCAGATCCAGTCAAACTGACATCCAGGATTAGCCATCACAGTGCGTAAGAGTACTTTCTCTGTAAACATGAGGATCTGAGTTCAAATCCCTGGCACCCATATAAAAGCAGGGCTGTCTGTTTGTGCCTGTAACCTCAGCTTTGGGCAATGGAGATGGGGGATCCTGCAAGCTTGATGGTCAGCCAGTTTAGTAAAACGGGTGAGCGTCTGGTTCAGCGAGAAACCCTGTTCAAGGAATAATGTGGAGAGAGATAGAGGAAGATACCTGGTGTCCTGTCCTGGCTCCATCCACACACTCATCTGCATGTACCACATATAACATACACACTTATAGCAGACATTCATACACACACACACACACACACACACACACACACACACACACCTTTCACTGATATAAAATAAACATGCAAACTGGGCATGGTGGTACGCACCTTGTAATCCCAGCACTCTGGAGCCCGAGAGAGGAGGATAGCCATGAGTTCCAGGCTAGCCTGGGTTATAGAATGAGACCCTGTCTCAAGAACAAACGAATATACAAACAGAAAGGCACATAATCATAAATATGGTCATGTCCATCTGTCTTCAAATATTCTTTCCAAAGAAGTGAACTTTAAACTACTTTTGAGTGCTTTCCCACTGCTTCGTGGAATAATCAGAAAACAGCACCTTGAAAAGGTCATTTCTGGGGGCTGGAGAGGTGGCTCAGTGGTTAAGAGCACTGGCTGCTCTTGCAGAAAGACCCAGGTTTCGATTCCCAGCACCCAAATGGAAGCTACCAACTGCCCCTAATTCCAGTTTCAGGGGATCCGACTGCCTCTTCTGACCTCAGAGGGCATTGTACGACATGAACACACTTATATACATGCAGGCAATACACTCATACACATAAAATAAAAATAATGAATAAAATATTTTTTAAAATAAAGATAAATAAAAAAGAAAGAAAAGGTGGTTTCTACCGATGGCCCTCTCCTTGCAAAACACTTTGAAAATCCTTATCTCATTTGACCTTGAGAAAGAGGTCAAGAAGGAAGTCACTTCCTTGTGGGTGAAATAAGGAAAGTGATCACTGCCCCCTGGTCTGGCAGTGCTGTGCGGTGAGCCACTCACCAGCTCCTGGCACCACAGGGCCCTCAGCAGGGCTGTCCTCCCAGTGCCCAGCCTGGAGCCACAGCCAACTCTGAGGGAAACTCTGTGGCTCCCAAATCCAGAGAGCTGTTAAAGGTCTCCTTTGGGATATCTGCACTGCGGAAGTCGTCAGCCAGACCTCATGTGCCAATAGACAGAATGGGGCAGTCCTTAATAGGGAAAATTATAATTAATGCAGTGCTCAGCCGCAGGAAATTGGTTCAGTGAATCCAGCCATGGAGAGGTGGAATAGCTCACAGTTACTGAAACATAGTTCTGAAAGGGAGTCATGGTCTTTAGTGTTTCCCAAATGAAGCAGGATAAACAACTGCACAGAGAGGGAGGTCTGCGCCATTAGTTCCTAGAAAACAGCCGGGAGGAAAATCAGTAAATGGTTCCCTCCTAGGGGAGGGGAGAGGAACAGGAGGGCTGAAGTTCTTTTTTTAAAAATTAATTTTTATTTTATGTGTACCTGTGTTTTGCCTGCATGTATGGAGGTGCACCCATGTCAGCAATGCCCACAGAGGCCAGAAGAGGGCTTCATTTCAGATCCCTTGGAACCGGGGCTAGGAGTGATTGATTGTCAACTGCCATGTGGGTGCTGGGAACCAAACCCAGGTCTTCTGCAAGAGCAGCCAGTGCTCTTCACTGTTAAGCCATCTCTCCCGCTCCAAGGACCGTTCTTATGGAATGTCTCTAATAGTGTATAATGAGCATCCCCATTACAGAAGCCATCGAAATAAAGGGACATTGAAATCCCCAGCACTCCTGAGCCCTTGGGTTCTGGTCTGCACATTTGGTCCTTCAGTCCTGAGAGAACAGACTCTTTTTGTGTGTGGTTCCCAGGACAGAGCACATAGTGTACATTCTGAGAACACATGTAACCACCGAGGCAGCCACCCAGCCCTCACAGATGGGTGCACTTTTGAGTCCTCCTTCTTTGCCTTCCTCTAGCCGTGGCTGAGGATGGATCCAGGGACCCGGGCTTGCTAAGAGAGTGCTCTACCACTCCGCCATGCCCCAAGGCCTTTGTAAAAAATATGCTTTTGACAATTGTAGATTCTTCTAGATCTTTCTTTTTCTCTTTCTTTCTCTTTTTCTTTCTTCTTTCTTTCCCCTCCTTCCTTCCTTCCTTTTTTTTTTTTTTTTTTTTTTTTTTTTTTTTTTTTTTTTTTTTTTTTTTTTTTTTTTCTTTCCCCCCCTTCCTTCCTTCTTTTTTTTTTTTTTTTTTTTTTTTTTTTTGTCTTTTTGAGACGGTCTCCCTGTAGCCCCAGCTGGGCTGGAACTCACTATGTAGAGCAAGCTGGCTGGCCTTGAACTCATAGAGATCCGCCTGCCTCTGCCTCCTGAGTGCTGGGATTAAAGGTGTGTTCTACTACAACTGGCAGATGTTTTCTTTTCTTTTTTAAGTTTTTATAAGACTGAGTGTGGTAGCACACTAGGGAGGCAGAGGCAGGCAGACCTCTGGACTTGGGACCAGCCTGGTCTACATAGTGAGTTCCAGGCCACCCACAGGCTACACAGTAAGATCTCATTTCCAAACAAACAAACAATGTTTTTATTACACCTACAAAATTTGGTGTGTGTGTGTGTGTGTGTGTGTGTGTGTGTGTGTGACATTGTGCATGTGAAGGTCAGAGGACAACGTATAGGAGTCAGTTCTCTCCTTCTACCATGTAGGTCCTGGGGGTCAAATTCAGGTCTTCAGATGTGCTTTTGAAACCTACATGTGTGAAGCTGAATGAGGTGGTGCACACCTGTAATCCCAGAACTCGGGGCAGAATCAGGAGGATCCTGAGTTCAAGGCCAACTTGTGCTAAACTGTCAGACTCTGTTACACAAGAAAAGTAGAGGACAAAGGAGGAGGAGGACAAGGAGGAGGATGGCAAGGAGGAGGAAGAGGAGGAGGAGGAAGAGGAGGAGGAAGGAGGAGGAGGGGGAGGAGGAAGAGGAGGAGGAGGGGAACTGGGGTTGCCTCTGCCACCGCCTCTGCTTTGCATTAGCCCCCACCCCCACTCCCGCGCCCCTTCGCAGCCGCAGTGCAAGTTTTCTGCGCGGGGAAGATCTGTTGCTGGTGCTGTGGTTCGCCAACACAGCCCCAGAGGCCACCCCGGGTGGGGCGTGCAGGGAGCACCAGCCGACCGCAGCCGCAGCAACAGGAAGCCGCGGGATCTCCTCCCGCACCTGGGAAGGAAGCTCGGGAATAGCTCAGCTAGCGAATCCCAGTCCCGAGGGGTCGGCTGGAATCTCGGGGCGGGGGGACTTGGCCTCGGCGGGACGCCCCCAACCTCCGCTTCCACACACCCCTTCCCCGGCTCCCCCTGATGCACGGGTCGGGCTGGAGGAGGAGGAGGAGGGGGAGGAGGAAGAGGAGGGGGAGGAAGAGGAGGAGGAGGAGGGGGAGAGGAAGAGGAGGAGGGGGGGAGGAGAGAGGAAGAAGAAAAAAGACCTTATAAGTATCATCAGAAAAATAATGGAGAGGAGGAGAAATTGTCTCCAAATGACTCATGACATCACAGAAAATTAGAAGCTTGGACATTTTCTACAGAGTCAGCCTGTCTTTTTGTGGCTGTGGAAACTAGGCTCAGCAGGGAGGGTGGCTGACCTGCCAAGTTTCTGGTGTTTGTGGTTTGTGTGGGGTGGCACTGGGGCTCCTCCCCTAGAATCTGTGGAGCTCTGAGTATAGAGACTGAGGAGGATTGCAGGCAGGGACGGAGGATACTCCAGGCTGGCTTAGTAGAACCATCTTCCTGTTTGTTCAGAGAGCCTGCAAATGCAGGTGGGAAATATTGAGAAATAAAGGCCAAAGTCCTCATTTATTGCCTTGGGAGAGTTAATATGTAATATTTTGGTATATAAACCTGACCACAAGATGAGACCCTGAGCACAGGCCTCTGGGAGCCACTGGGTGAGCTGTCACCAGGAGCTGTCACCATGTCGGTGAGGATGTTAGCCCCTGGCCCATCTCCCTCCACTTTGACATTGCTGGGTGTGGGTGGGGAGCTTTGGGTACAGTATTGCTGCCCCTCTCTGAGACTCAGCTTCCCCATGTGCATCATAAGAAAGCTAGGTAGATGGTCTCTTGGTCCCTTAGCATTGAAGCTGTCTGAAGTCCTGCCACCAAGCTCAGAGCCAGAGCCGGTCTCTCCCCATCTAACCTGTTTCTCTGTAAGAACAGCAATGCTAATAAATAATTTGATTGCTAACTTCCACTGAGTCTCAGAGAGATGAAGAAACCAAGGCTCGGGCTGCGACCAGGTCAGTGCTGGAGTCTGTGATTGGCAGGAACGAGGCCCTGGCTTTGATCCCAGAACCACAAAGCAAAATAATTTTTTTTCTTTCTTTTAAATATTTTATTTTATTTTGAGTCAGGGTCTTACTATCTATTTAGCCCTGCTTGGCCTGGAAGTCATTAGGCAGACCATTCTGGCCTCAAACTTACAAGAGATCTACCTGCCTCTGCATCCTGACTGCTGAGATCAAAGTTGTACAGCACCATGCCCAGCCAAAGTAAAATTTTCAAAAAAGGGGCAGGTTGGAAGTAGCTCAGTTGGTACAGACCAGATATGAAGCCCTAGGTTTGATCCTTAGCACTGAATAAACCAGGTGAGGTGGTACATACCTGTTACCCCAGCACTTGGGGTCGGGGTGGAGACAGTAAGATCAGAAGTTCAAGGTTAGCCTTAGCCATATAGCGAGTTCAAGGATATGTGAACACCCCCCCCCGCAAAAAAAAGGAAAGAAAAAGAAAAACTGAGGCTCAAGATGAAATTTCCTGAGGTCACTGTCTGCAGATTGCAGGGTGGTGACCGTCTTTGAGATCTCAGTGCTTCCAGATCTTGATCTCCTGTGGCTTGCGGTAGGGCTGTGGACAAGTCACTGCCCTTTTCTGAGCTTTGGTCTACTCTGATGTGTAGAATGAGACCATATGGATCCTCTGGGGTATAGACAGTGCTTTCATTTCCTAGGACTGCTGGGACAAACCACTTTAAAATGAGGGGCTCACCACCACAGACATGTCTTCTCCATGGTCCTGGCCAAGTCTGGAATCCAGGGTGGGGAGGGCCAAGCACTCCCTGCAGGCTCTGGGGAGGATCTTTCCTTGTCTCCTCCAGCTTCCTGTGAGGGCATCTGTAGTTCCCTGGACTGGCAGCCTCGTAACTTCAAGTCCTGCTGTCTCTGTGCACGGCCTTTCCTCTGTGGGTCAGTTTCTTTCTTTTTAAAAAAATCTTTAGTTTTTCATTATGTGTACATGTATGTGTCTGCTGTATGTGGGTATGTGCAGGTGCCTGCAGGATCCCTTCGAGCTGGAATTACTGGTGGTTGTGAGTCACATGATGTAGGTACTGGGAATCAAACCTGGGTCCTCTGAAAGACCAGCAAGTGCTCTAGCCCCAAGTGGGTCTGTGTTTCTGTGCCCCAGTTCCCTTCTCTTAAGGGACACAGGTCACAGTGGATTTAGGGCCCACCCTAGACCAGTACCCTACCATTTAAGTTGATGGCATGTCCCAAGGCTCTACTCCCAAAGAAGCTATATTAGCAGATGCCAGATGGGATGAAGTGCAGGAGAGGAAATGGCCAACCACATTACCCAAGACAGCGCAGGTGACATGCAAGGCATGAATGTGACTGGGTATCCCTGACTGAAGAACTCCTGTGCTGTCCTTGCCTCCCCCTCTCAAGGAGACCCTTCATGGCCCAGACAACCCTGATGTTCCCTCTCCTGGTCACCCCACCCCTCCCTTCCTTTCCTCTTTCTCCTCCAGATATCATCTAACCAAACCTCATAGCACCTATGGGAGACACAGGCCCAAAGGAGTGAGGCTAGCCCCAAGTCACTGAGGTAGTGAAAGAAGAGCTTGGGTTCGGCCATATCCTAACCCCAACTCCCATCTCACCACCTGGGAACTGTTCCATCTCCCACTGAGCTCTGCCTCCTACCTCTCTGGCTTTAGACTTGGCCCAGTGAGGGCAAGGGATCTCAGCATCCTATTTATGAAAATGTATTCTACCCTGGGATCTGCATCTCTGAGACTCCTGGCATTGGTTTACCTCCCCTGTAGCCCAGCTCTGCAGCAAGCTCCCACTTGCAACCTCGGGGGCTCTGCTTTTTCTGTTCCAGTCAAGCACCCAGGAAGTATAAGCTTAGGGGTGCTTTGTCCCATCCTGTCCCAGCATCCACTCCACCCTGCCCCAGGAATCTTGGGAGGGACAGATGACACCTTCTAGTCAGGCTGGTGGACAGCAATTGCAAATAAACAGCACACATCTGAGTACCTGCCATGTGCATGTGCTTCTTGGGTCATTTGGGAGGGGCAGTGGGTGTCCTTGCTGGGCATCTCCCTCTCAGGGGTAGCTCTGCAACTCAGAACCTGAAAAAAGTCAGTTTGGTCTCTACTGCTAAATCAGCTACTACAGGGAGCTGCTGGCCTTTCTGCCTCCCGACCTCTCTGCCCTGAGAGCAGTGTGTGCTTGCAGGGGACACTGGCCGAGTCTGGAGACACTGTTGTCATGGCAGCCTGAGAGAGATGCTGGGTTCTAGTGAGGAGAGGTCAGAGGAGCTGCTGGCCATCCCACAGTGCACAGGATGCTCCCAACAGACACTCACCCATCTACCCCATGCCCCAGCAAAATGTCCAGGAACTTCTCTAAGGCACCTGCGACTGAGGCTGATGTGTCCGCATTTTAGAGCTCCAACTTCCGGCAGTGTGTTTCCTACTGGCTCTCTAATGGAGCATTCTTCTGTTGCACAGGGGATATTTGAGATCACAAACCTGGACATGAAGATGGGAATGACCTTGAAGATCAAGGGGAAGATCCGAGAGGGTGTTAATGGGTGAGCTAAGTGGGGGCAGGGAGGGAGGAGGAAGCTGGGACAGGCAGGCAGCCCTGTCAGATCAACCAGGACACGGTGACTTCAAGCCAAGAAGCCTTTCCTTCTTCCTTGCTCCTTCCCACTGTTGGGCTCCCACAGCCCTCTGGTTAGGATCTGCTTTTGCACATAAGCCTCAGGTCAGCAACCTTCAGAATGTCAGAATCAGAATCCACTGCACGTGCTCTGCTCCTTCCCCTAACAGCCACCGAAGGGGCAAGTGGAGAAAGCAGGAGCTCTGCCTGGTCCTGAAGGTCTGGTGCCTTTACTGAAAGTCCAGCCTGCCTCCCTCCTCAGGGATTAAACACACACACACACACACACACACACACACCCTCTCCTAACCCATCTGAAAGGGCCTGTGAATTCACCCAGAGACAGCCACTAGGGGGCAGCAGTGGTCTCATTTGCGTCCCTGAGACTCCTGGCATTGGTTTACCTCCCCTGCAGCTCAGCACCAAGCTATCACATGTAGAGGAACATTCCAGCATTTCTTGGGACTAATTTCTAGCCACCTAGGGATAGGAAGTCTGTAGGAAGATGTGTGGTGTAGGAGCTAAGGCAAAACCTCCTCTTTTTCTGTGTCCCTCAAGTTTGTAGACATGCAGGGATACCTGGTCTGACATGCCCCAGTGATGGAATCCCACAACCCAGAATGAGCTATTTTCAGGGACTCTGAGAGTCTAGCCCCGGCTTCTGTAGTGATCCTGCCAAGTCATTCATCCCCTGCTGACATACCTCAGCTGACAGGGAGCTCATCACCTAGGTTTGGCTGCTTATGGTCAATCTGAACAGGTCTTGAATTCTTTCACCCTGGAAGAACACACTTAATTTCTGAAATTGTCACCATCAGTTACTGTCAACAGGCTTGGTCCCTGCTCCAAATGGAACGCACCACTATAGTGTCATGTCTGACTCCACTTCCACCTCATTTCGAGGCTCAGATCTCAATTAAAACATCTTTGGTGATTCTTTTAGCTTGTGGTTGTCCAGGACCCTCTGCCCTAACCTCATCTCACCTGTCAACCTTCCTACAGCTTTATCATTAACCTGGGCCAGGGGAAGGACCACCTGAACCTCCATTTTAACCCTCGCTTCAACGAATCCACCATTATCTGCAACTCAAAGGATACAGGCAACTGGGGACAAGAGCATCGGGACAGACACATAAGCTTCTCTCCAGGGTCAGATATCAAGGTGAGGTCAAAGGGGACAAAAGTTAGGGAGGAGGTCACAGGGAGAGCCCAAATGGTAGTACCCCTGACTAGAGCTTAAGCCACCAGGCACCCTTCAGGACCCTTTCCAGGGCTCCTTCCTCCTTCCTGACTCCTCCCTCCCTGTGCAGGTCACTGTGGCCTTCCAGGATAAGGAGTTCAAGGTGACTCTGCCAGATGGACACGTGATCACCTTCCCCAACAGGCTGGGCCACCAACACCTGAACTACCTTTCTGCAAATGGTCTCTACATCTCCTCCTTCAAACTTGACTGACTGCGCAGCACCTCAGAACAAGACCCATAGCCCCAAGCCCATTTGAGTCCTCCTGTAAGACCCACCAGGACTGGCACCTTTGGGTTTGGGTCTCCTAACCCTTCACCTGCATTTTCTGCTCTGCTGACTCCATCCATCCCAGTCAGGAGCAAACAAAAGAATCCACGTTTCTTGAGTCATTCCATGACAAGTACTGTTAGCACTTTCCAAGTATTTTAATGCTCCCAGCATCGTTATGATACAGGGGGGAAACTGAGGCACAAGGATTTGGCACTGCCATGTGCAGAGGATGGAGGGTGCTCCCAAGCAACCTTAAGCATGCCAGCCCCAGCCTGTTGTCCTCCCCACGATCTCCTGAGTACCTGCCAAGCTGCCCCGTGGGTTTGTGGGTCAGACACTGGTTCCAGGCACCTGGGACCAGGGTGTTCCAGGAACTACAGATAAGGGTCCCACCTGGGCCTCTTATCGGCAGGCATTCCAGGCTGGTTACTCATTACCTTGTTTGGCCCCCTCCCCTGGCTGGGGTGAGGGCCTCTACTCTCCAAATTCCCAAGAGAGGAAAGGACATTTCCATGGGGGCTGAGGCCTGCCCCTAAGTCTTCATGCTTCCTAGAAGGACACCTTTTATCCAAAAAGCTTTTAAATTCAGGCACCAGAGGCAGGTCTGGGGTTCACTGGTAGGTGGAACCCTCCCTCGAGGTTACACCTGACCTGAGACTTGGGGACAAGTGGGAGTTAGGGAGGAGCCTGGGATAGGACTATTGGGGAAGAAGTGGTGGTCTTCTGGGTGCAACTTGATGAGCAAGGGGGGCAGGCAATCCCAATGGGAGACAATGGCCCTGTGTATTCCGTGCCCCTCCCCCACCCCACTAGGACAGCATCCTGGGGCACAAAGGCCACACTGTGAGGCCAGTGGGGGTAGCATGGGGTGGGGCTGAAGGAAGGGCTTCTGCGCTCAGAGTCAGTAGGAAGAGGTGAGTTAGCTGAGCAGGGCCCCTTGTGTTCCTGTCCACTCCCTAACATGCCTACCCTGCTGAAACCAGAAAAGATTTAGGGCAACTTGGGTTTCTCATCTCTTGTGGGCAGATGCAGCTGTTAGGTGAGGGGAGGGTTCAGCCCCTGGGCTGAGTCCTGAGGCTGGCAGGACCTGAAGCCCACCTCCAATCCCTCACACCTTGACCTCATCCTCCTCCGCATCAGTAAACTCAAAGGCATTAGCCTGCACTGTGCTGGGCACATGGGCCCTGCTGCTGGGGGGTGCAGTCCACTCTTCATTCAGGCTCTCCCAGGAACCCTGGACTTGGGGCAGCACCCCCACCAGCTCTCTCCGAGCATCCATCTCAGTATAGTGGCGACTGCCCTGGCTGCCACCCCAGCCTGCTCCCCAGTGCCTGCCAAGGGCCATATCAGGAGGTACCTGGGGGTCCTCTCTGACAGGGCTGACTCTCACCTCAGCCATGGGGCCTAACCCAGCAGTTCCCCCATTGGGGAAATGTCCATGGGGTGGAGGGCTTGCTGCAGGGCCAAGGGGGCTTGCCACAGGGGTGAAAGGGGCTGTGGCAGGGGCTAGGAGGCTTGACGCAGGGACTAGGGATTGTGTAGCAGGGGCTGGAGGGTTTGCAGTAACTAAGGGATTTGAAGCAGGAGCTGGGGTCTCGGCTGCAGGCGCTTCTGAAAGGCTTATGACCCCTAGCAGCTCGCTGAGGAGCGAGGGCCCAAGGTCGAGATCAAAACGGAAGGACAAGAGAGAGTCAGAGCGTCGAAGCTCAGGCTCAGAGGGGAAGGAACTTCGCTCTCGGTCTCCATCTCCATCTCGATCACGGTCACGGTCACGGTCACGGTCACGGTCACTGAGCTTTTCCAGACGTGGCAGGCGGGAGATGGTACAGAACCCAGAATCCAGGCCTAGCAGAGAAATGGGGTGAGGTCAGAGCTAAGATCCCTAGCCAGGACTTGGGAAGAAAAAGCCAGGACAATCCTGACCTTCCACACCCCTCGCTGGCTCCCATTTCTCCTACCTGTGATCCCTAAGACTTAAGGGCCATCACCCCATCCCATTTTGCAGAAGAAGAAAGGGAGGCTCAATTTAGGACATGACAGGCATCCCCAAAGCCATGCCTGGAGCGTGAATCTTGATGTTCAGTAACTGCTGTGAACTTAGCTGTGGCCCCCAAGTTCCCTCTATGACACTGATGGATGGCTGCAGGTAAACCCTTAGCTTGTGGGCTGGTTTGTGGACACAGAAGAGAACTAGCAGCCGGAGCTTGACTAGAGAAAGCACAGGCTCTTAAGACAGGTATACGCCCTCCAGAGTTTCCTGGCCCAATCCTTGCCTCCAGGACCCCAGGCCTGAGGCACATGATAGGTTAACTGTAGAGTGGTTATCCCTGGGGCCCCCTCAACAGCCCTGGACCAGGAGCAGAGGCTGGCAAATCTGAGAGGTGCCCCATTGCCACAAGGGGGAAGCAGAAACCCACAGTTCCCAGGTGAGCCAAGGTAACAATTCATATGTGGTTAATCTGTCAAGTTAGTGGAGCCTTAGTTTCAAATATCAGCTCCTGTCCTGAGCACCTACTATCTGACTTCACTGAATCACAGCAATGCTACTAAGGGACCCACATAGGTGAAGATGTCTGTGTGCTTCTTGGGAGACAGAAAGGACTAGGATTGGAAACCAGAGCCCAGGCTCAGCCAGTCCTTATTACCCTCCAACACTGGGGAGCTGCTTTAATGGAAGTGGGCAGGAAGGGGTGGACTGGCCACAGAGCTAAGAGACGGGAAGGGCTTGTCTGAATCACACAGCAACTTGGGCTGCTGGAACATCAACTCCATTTACACCTTAGCTTCAGGTGAGGGTGAAGACTAAGGGACCTAAGCCAGCTGGCCCACCCTCCTCCACCCCATCCTTGGCCTGGGTTTGGACTGGACTTCCATGAGGAGACTACACAGCTATGGGAAAAGTTATTTGAGGTCTGGTGGAGTCCCCAGAACCCCTCTGGGCTTGAACCTCAGCCATGAAAAATGTGCTGTGAACCCAGGTCCTCACCATAGCCAGACCGGCCATCTGTGGAGCTGGTAGGACTTCTGTCGAAGCTGAGCTTGCCCACCACCAAGCTGTCGTAGGCGGCCTGGTTAAGCTGGGGCAGGGAGATGGCGTTCTTGATGATTGGTGAGATGGCAGGTGGAGCGGGTGAGGGCGCAGGCGGGGAAGCCATCCTGCGCAGTGGCACCCCCACTCTTCGCACTTGCTGGAGTTTCCTGGCTAAGAAGCTGCGGGGCGAGCGGTGGGTGTTTCCTGAACTGCCTCCATGGTTGCTGAGGAAGGAGGTATCTCCGAAGACATCCCCACCGCGGCCCACGTGCATGGTGTGGCGGAAGTCTCCAAGTGGGGGACTGATCATGTCTGTGGTCAGCCGCCTCTTTCCATGGGAACTGGATACCCAGCCCACAGGCGAGAGCTTGCCCAGGCTCATGGTGGGGGCTCCTGTGCCCCCCTGGGGGCCCGGCATCAGCTTTGGCTGCTTACAACTGCTGGTCCATGCCCACTTGGGGCCAGGGAGGGTGGTGGGGCTGGGCTCAGGGCCCCTTCTCAGATGGTGGGGCAGAAGACAACCTCAGTTCTCCTAAGGCGCAGGTCCCAGTGCTGAGGCTGAAGGGGTCTGCCACTTGTGTCCTGCCGGGACCTTGCTCCTGGTGAAGCAGATGATCGGAGAGGGCACAAGAAGGGCCTTAAAAGTGGGTGGTCCCTGTGCTGGGGTGGAAACCTAGAAAGGCAGAGGACAGCTTTGTGTCATGGCAACAGAGGAGGAAATGTGAATCCAAACAATAGGCACCCAAGAGAACAAACGAGGATGCCCAACAATGTGGACAGAGATCCCTGATCTGACCCAGTCAGGCACAAAGGATGACCTGCAGAGTCCTGTACAGTACAGAAAGTTCAAGAAGGGGCTGGGAGTTGGTTCAACGGATGGGAATGCTTACTTAGCAAGCATGAGGACCTGAGTTTGGCTCCTACCTATAACCCCAGTGGTGGGGTTGGGCAGAGACAAGAGGATTGTTGGGGCTTGCTGGCCAGCCAGCCTAGTTGAAAAACCACAAGTTCTAGGTTCAACGAGACTATCTCATGGGAATAAAGAAGAGTGTGATAGAGCCGGACACCCAGTGTCCTCCTCTGACACACACACACACACACACACACACACACACACACACACACAAATAAATGTAATAAAACAACGAGGCATGGAATCTGACCGTGGG